AATTGTGCTAATAATTTTGTTTTCAATGTTTGTGATCAATTATTGTTAAATTTTTATCATTATTATTAAATATGAAAAAGAAGCAATTCTGAATTTTTTTAATACAAATTCAAATTAGGTTTTAAAACAGAGGATATGAATCGAAGAATTAATGAAGTATTCAATCAGGAAGTAAACGGACAATATAATGATTTCAAAAATTTAATGGAGGTGAAGACGATCTGCATTCATTGACAATGATCTTGAAAGTTTTTAATTATTGAAGTGGATCTATTAAAAACCACTCAAGAAGAATTAATCAATAGACAGGAATTAATCAACAGTCTTTGATCAATTAATAGTTGTTTGTCGTTTGAATCGAATCAGTAAAATAAAAACCGGCATTATTTTTGTATTAACCAAATATATCATAATTAATATGTAAGTGATAATGAGATAAAAAGAGATAAAAATAATTTTATACAGACCTCAAAAGCGCCTTGCATAGTATGAGTCCCTTACATAATATGCGTCCCTTCGTCTCAACACTACGTTCGCGGTAACGGAATCGCTTAGTTCGAACTGCCGTTTATCCTGATGTGTATTTAAAAAACCGATGAAAAGAAAAGAAAAAAAAAGCAGGTGTGTTCCTGATCAATCAGCGTGGTTACATTCTATTATCGACACGGCAATCTTGACGACAGGATTCAGGACTGCATTTGAACATTCCTACATTCTATAGAATCTAGACGAGAGATAGATACATTCCAATGTTACAAACTAAGGCCGATATTTTTGTTACGTCGTTACCATTAGCACGCATGTTTACAGAATAAGTATATCTCTCATCATAGACTGTAAGACTATAATTTAAGAAGCGTTTTTTTGTATCCGCCGCGGCTATAGGTTTACTCGATCTTTCGGAGCGGTAGAAAGTTTCGCTTTCAATGGGAATTGATCGCATAATTGCGAGATATATTTCTTCTCAGACGAGTCTCGTTTAATCGTAATTAACGGCAATTTTGGAACTACATCACGCTTACCTGTCATTTGATTTTTTTTCTTCGCATGTTGTATTGTAGATATATTTAGAGAAGGTATATGTAAAACCTATAGATTGTCTCTTCAAAGAATATTCATCAAGATGTATTATCAACTGTTTGACTCGTAATGTTTTTGAATATATTTATCCGGGGATGAACGACATCTTCTTTTTGATGATTGTTTGACGTAATTTTTGTAAGAGAAACATATCCGAAGCTGATTGTATGTTAAATCAAGTAATAATTTTATTATGAAAAATGTATGTACATATATGACATACAGTTTAAATGCATAAATTTTATGGAGAGGCAGTCTCGATATTTTCAAGAAGAATAGAAGAATAGTCGTAGTTATTCACAGTTTAAAACTTCATGAATGAGGCATTGATAGACAAAACAACCTACTTTATGATACTCCTTTACATGATTGCAGATAATTATTTTGTAACCACGTTGAAACATTGGTAGCTAATACCGTGCCTTTTAGTGTATATGAAATAATTATAAAGAATGCAAATAATAATAAAAAAAGAAGTACTGTGGCATTGTGGGTTTTACGAAACACCTATATTACTTATTTATGATTTTCAACTATAATGTAATAATATGTGTATTCCTGTGTATATGTTATTTATTTTATAAAGAATTTTCTCTTTTGCAATTGTCGCTACTTTCTTTTCCATCACTATATTTCTGTAAAAATACAGTATGTTTCTAGTCCCTTTATGTAATTTGCCTTTGCAGCCTCAACAAAGAGGTTTGCTCTTTGTTGCTCAGTGAATTATGCTAAAACTTTCCATCAAATTTCCATCATGCTAGTAAAGTTGTGTAAAGCCAAAAATTTGGAAACTTTTTAAAAATTAATATTTCTGGAATTACTTACTTAAATATCCGTAATAATGTGTTTTTGAACGATAATTTTTCAGGTTCAATAAATTATTGAATCTAAAAATTATTGTTACAAAATTATATTGTTATGAATAAGTAATATTATATTGTTATGAATAACTAATCCCAAAAATGTCAATTTTTAAAAGTGTTTCTAACTTCGTCTAAAGTATACACCTTTTATTTTAAGTATGGATAATGAACACACAATGTGTACATTCGTTTTGCAACAAAGAACAAACAAGGAAGAGATAGGATCCTAAAATTATGTGTTTGATCGATTCAGTAAGAGCTATTTGTGTCATTGACGTACTATTACACATTGCTATATCATTATGCATGTACAAATTTTCTAATTTTGTTTTATACATAGTACAAAAACTTTTATAAAGTAAATCTTGTTATGAATTGATGTCAGAAACCGATAAAAAATTATAATTTTCCAACTTTTTTCCATTTTTATCATAAAGTGGATTATCTTATTGTCATTTATGCTTTAACTGTGAAAAAGAATTTTTAAATCTGTAAAGGCATTTAGAAAAATACTTATTTGAAAAGTAATCAGTAAAACACAAACGACTTTAAGATCCTTTTAAGGCACTTAACTTGTATATTCACTACACTAGAAAAATGTAAAAATTGTAATGGATAAGTGAGCATACTT